TATCACACCTCCCCCAGCAGCAGCATTGGAATGAGATTTTATACACTGAACTCTTCATTATATTTTTCTGAGGTCACAGGGGTTACTTGAGGTCATTGGAGTATCTTAAAATTGATCCAGGGGTTACTTGAGGTCATTTCAGCCCCTGTTTGGGGTTACTTGAGGTCACAGGGGTCATTTGAGGTCATTTGAGGCCCTGATCGAGGTTACTTGAGGTCACAGGGGTCATTTGAGGTCACAGGGGTTACTTGAGGTCATTTGAGTCTTTAAAAATTGATTCAGGGGTTACTTGAGGTCATTTCAGCCCCTGTTTGGGGTTACTTGAGGTCATTTGAGACCCTGTTTGGGGTTACTTGAGGTCACAGGGGTCATTTGAGGTCATTTGAGACCCTGTTTGGGGTTACTTGAGGTCACAGCGGTCATTTGAGGTCATTTAAGACCCTGTTTGGGGTTACTTGAGGTCACAGGGGTCCTTTGAGGTCAACTGAGACCTTGTTCAGGTTTACTTGAGGTCATTGGAGTCTTTATTAATTGATCTGAAGGTTGCTTGAGGTGATTTGTGTCTCCATCCACTGCATGCAGGGTCAGCTGGGGACACAGGGGTTAATTCTTGTGAGCTGTGCCCAAAGAGGAAGGGACACTTCTGTGAAATGACTCAAACACTGCCAGCCCAGCCCAGGGGAGCCCAAGGCCCCAGGGTCACCCAGTGGTGTCACCCATCCTTTGTCCTCTCAGCACAGAGACAGGGACTGGTTCTTAGCTTTATTAATATCAATATTTATTTAATTGATTATTAATTTATTTTATTATTATTTTATTATTTTATTTTATTAGTGTTTATTATCATCTCCTGTAAGCATTGGCATCTACAGCATTGGTGTTAGCTATTAATACACTCATCAATAAATTCTGCTGTTGGGATTTATTAAGTTCTATTTACAGTATTTTCTTTTAGGATCCAGTAGTGTAATCACCTATTGCAACATAAAACTAGGATTATTTCTTCGAATAAATAATATATTTATTAGTATTGGTAATAATTAGTGTATTATTATCTGCCACAGGGGTATAGATGTGTCCTGTTGGAACCTCCATGGGATTATGGAATGCCCTTCACATCCTTCTCAACTCAACTTTGAACATGGACTTTATTTTTACACAGATTAAAAATAAAACCTTGCAAGTATCAGACCAAGAAAATCCCAACTCCTGGAACTGTTCACACCATCCCATAAAATATATCCAAACCAAAGGTTTTGGTGGGACACCCCGTGTGTGTGGTGGTGTCCTTTGGGACAGGGCAGGCTGGGGACAGCACTGGGACACCCAGGGGTGAAGGACTGTGGCCAGCAGAGCTCCGAGGATGTGATTGATCCCTCTGGGATGAGGCAGGGGGTGGCTGGGATGGAAACTCAAGGCAGGTTCTTGCTCGTCTCCCCTCTCCACAGCCAGGCCAGAGGTGCCAGAGAGGAGAGAGGAGTTCGACCTGGGGCTGGCGATGGCTGAGCACGAAATCCCTGAGATGTCACCCACTGGATCTGTCCAATATTGATTTTAAATTGGTTGGGAGCAGAATCCCTAAAATAAACCCAGAGGGGAGAGGGGAGCCCTGCCCCTCACATCAGCACAGCTCCAAACCAGATCCAAATCCTAAAGGTTTTCAGTGAGAAGAGCAGCGTTGGCTCCCAAAATCATCCCAGGGAACAAGAAAACACAGCCTGGCCTTCCCAGCTCCAGCATCTCCTCTTGTCCTCTCCTTGTTCCTTGACAGGAGAGACCATCCCCACCTGGTTCCAACCTCCTCTCAGGTGGGTGCAGAGTGAGAAATTCTCTAAATATCATCCCAGCTCTCCAGAAACTTCCCCCCAGGCTGCCAGAGCAGGCAGGGAGCCCCTGGTTTGCAGCCTGGAGCTGCACAGAGCCTGATGAACCAGCTCTCCCCAAGCCTGCACCTCAATATCAGCCAGCCAGCAAATCTTTAAGTTCTTTTCCAACCCAAACCGCTCTGGGATTCCTTTGCCAGCTGCATCAGTGGGATTTTCCCACGTTTCATCCCCAAAACAGGGGGGGCGGGAAGATCCAGCCCCAAAGCAGAGCCTGAGCCCAGCGAGGGGTGCAGCCCCGCATTGCAGATGCTGCTGCGGGCAAGGGCCAGCCCCAAATTCCCTGAAAGCTGCTGTCAACCCTCCCAGCAGGGCTCTAAATCCACCTGGACTTCCTCGGCTCCAGCTGCCTGAACAAGCTGGCAACAGCGGAAAGCGAGGCAAAGCCTCTCCTACTCGGGGAAAAAAAAAAAAAAGATCGGGAGAAGTGTCCATAAATCCTGAGCCAGTTACTGGTGGAGAGGACTCCCCTCCTCCTGCTCCACACTCTGCAGCACAAATTACAGCCCCAACTTCGCTGTTGTTCAGCGATGAACATCTGAAAAGGCTGTGACAGATGAGAGGAGGGATGATTTAACTGCCATAAATCCAGCCAGCTTAGAGGTGTTTTTACAACCAAACCCATCTTGAATCCCCTCTGTTATGAATACTTATCACTCCCAGACACCGCAACAATGGAAAGATTTTTAACAGCTTTAATAGAGAAGCGATAAAAGCCCCGGAGCCGGGCGAGCAGCCGTCCTTTGATCCCTCCCGAGGGAAGGGAGAGGGGCTGGAGCTGGAGCAGCCGCTGGGCTGAGCCGGGCTTTAATGGGTGGGTGGAATCACCCCAGAGCTGGATCAGCTTTCCTGAAGCTGGAACCAGCACCCGGCAGGGAAAGGGGACAGGCTGTGCCTGGGACATCCCGTACCTGCTCCAGGGGCTCCTCCCGCAGCTCCCACAGCACATATCCCACCTGCAGGGGCTTAAGGCAGAGCTGCTTCCAGCTGCACCAATGCAGCTGAATCCTGGGTGTGGTGACACCGCCTTTTAACCCGGTCATGGCTGAATTGGCTCAGTGACAGCCACACCACGAGAGGGACAGGGAAGCTGCTCCTTGGCACTTCCAGGAGCTCAGATCTCCTAGATCCAGGGTAATTGCTCATGGATCTCACTCCCTCCCAGGTTGGGATTAAGCAGCTCCAGATCTCATTCCCATTTCCCAAACTGTCCCTGCAGCCTCCCAGAACCATTCTAAGCACCCAGCCGGCAAAACCAGGAACAGGGAGGTGCTGCTGCAAAGGGCACCTGCAGCCAGGTGAATACCTCAGGAATAAACCCCTCCCTCCTTACACACACAAACTTATCACCACAGCCAGGTGATAAGGAATTCACCAGCTGGAGGGAACAAAATTGATCTCAGGCTCCTTGTTTTCCATAGCTGAGCAGCCCACATCCGGGGAAAGCACCAGGGAAAACATCCAAGCTTTGTGATGTGCTTCCCTCCTGCAGTGGGGGGTGATTAAATAAAAACAAGGAGCAGGGAAAGCTCCTTTCCAAGAGAAATGTGGCTACCAAGAGAGATGTTGGGCTACCAAGAGAGAAACCAGCCCTGCAGGACAAGGAACAGGCTCAGCTTGGCCACACAGAAACCTGAGGGGACGTGGACTCTGAATCCTGGCTGGAATATGACATTCCCAGCCTGTTAATCTAAGGGAACATCTCTTTTTTTAATAAGATAATACCGAGTAATTGATTTTTAAATACACTGAAATCAAATGTCCCCAGGCCAGAGCAGGATCCCAGCTCTGCTGTCAGCTCAGAGGCCACTGGCAGAGATGGAAAGCACAAGGGAAAAGAAAATAAAAATGAAATCTCCTTCATGTGCCTCTCTGGCTCCAGGGCAAATGAGAACATCTCTGTAAAAGGTGCAACAATTTTTCTCTATTAAAAAATAGATTATCAAAAGGGAGATGCTGGTGGAAGCACCAGGGACCACTGAGATCGAGCAGGCAGCGTGGAGAAAATCCATCTGCTTAAAACACACAACAACAATTGAGCAAAAAAAAATCATTTTTAAGATAATTTATTCCAATCTCTCTCTCTCTCACACCCCATCCTTCTCACAGTCCCGGTCGAGGAGGGTTTATGGCTATTTTTTATTAGATTTTAATTGTTTTTATAGAAAAATACACATGCAAATAATATATATACTTCAGCGCTGAACTTTTCATGTTGGAAAAAATAATAATAATAATAATAAAGAAATGAAGGAAGATTTGGGAAAGACCTGAGTGGAGACAGAGGGAAGGCCATGGGGATGGGATGCTCCAGGATGCTGAGCTGCTCGTGGTCCAGCACATTTTATCCAGCAGGAAGATGTTTATTGGGATGAGGGACCGACATCAGCCCCTCACCCCAGCAAAAATCCTTCTCCAGTAACTCTGCCCAGATTTGGAAATGGCCAAGGAAAAATTGGTGCTGGATTTGTCCTTCCTACAAGACCCAGCACGGATCCCATCCCCAGCAGCAAAGGAAGCCCAGCTTAGGTAAAAGCATCGTTTTGATGCTTGGAAATGACAGCAGAAGCCAAGAGCTACATGGAAAAAATATCCTTTTATGCTATTTCCTATGGGACACAGCTGGCAGCACAGGGAAAATGGATTGATTGAAACCTGGACTTGAGTTTCTGGATGATGCTTTTGGGGTGAGACTGTTGGGCCCTTGGCTGTGCAGGGCTGGGGGTTTCTGCCCTAGTGGGCTGCTCCTTGTAGAGGGGAGCAGCGATGTCCCCGTGTCCCCAGCGATGTCCCCGTGTCCCCAGTGATGTCCCCACATCCCCAGCGATGTCCCCACATCCCCAGCGATGTCCCCACATCCCCAGTGATGTCCCCACATCCCCAGTGATGTCCCCACGTTCCCAGGGATGTCCCCACATCCCCAGTGATGTCCCCACATCCCCAGCGATGTTCCCACATCCCCAGCGATGTTCCCACGTCCCCAGGGATGTCCCCACGTCCCCAGGGATGTCCCCACGTCCCCAGGGATGTCCCCACGTCCCCAGCAATGTCCCCACGTCCCCAGCGATGTCCCCACGTCCCCAGGGATGTTCCCACGTCCCCAGGGATGTCCCCACGTTCCCAGAGATGTCCCCACGTCCCCAGGGATGTCCCCACGTTCCCAGGGATGTCCCCACGTTCCCAGCCTCTCTGCAAGCACCGTGCCAAGGTCCAAGGGATAAAACAGATCTGCTGCATGGTGGGAGCTGCCACCCCTGGAGCACAACAGGAGATGTCCTTTAGCCAGGGCTATTTCAGGTTTGATGGGTGAGCAGCTGGAGCGAAGAGCTGGCGAAGGAGAGGGCAGAGAGGAGCAGCCTGGGGAAGGAGGACAATTAATCTACTGCCACAGGACGCCAGGAGGCTTTGGGAAATGTCACAATCCAGCAGCATCCCGACACGGACAGGGCAGCAGGGAGAGGGATGAGGCTCTTTGTCATCTCCTCCCAAGCCAAGCAGAGCTCCTCTGCCTCCACTCCCGCCCAAGGCCATGGCTTTTTTCCTACTGATCCTGGCTGAAGCTATGGAGCAAACTGTTGTCTCTTTGCCCAGAGGTACAAACCCACACAGGCAGCACAGCAAAGCTTTCCCAAGGGAAGGGAGGCCAGCGAGGGCTTTGCCAGCCCCACCCTGCTCATGTCCCCAGCCAGTGGTGACACCTGGAGACACCACAGAACCTGAGTGGTGGCTGGGTGCAGCCCCAGCTCCTGGCTGTGGTCCCTGCCATCCCCTCCTGCACCCCTGGTGCAGCTCCAGCATCAGCGAGGGGATGCCAGCGGGGAAAGGCAGCCTTGGATACCTCTGGATTTACCACCAGAGACCTCACCAGCATTTCATGAGGGCCACAGCACCTGGAGACTGCAAAGCCACGCTCCTCCTGGTTTTCCCTTGTGTTTTGTTTTGCTTTTTAACCAACAAAATTCACTTTTGTGACTGGCTACTCAAAAAATCGAGGCGGGAGGGTCTGGCAAGGGTGGGGGCTGTTTGGCTCCTATGTCTACAGGCTGCTCTGGGGCAGCTCTAGAGTTTGGTGGACGATCATGCAGGTTTTGTTGCAGCTCGTGTGTGTTGTTTGGTTTGTAGGTAGCCCAGCTTCAGTCTCAGGTAGCCCCGGAGGTGGGATCCTCTCCCCTCCCCACCTGTCCGGCCGCTGTCTCTCTGCCGCCGCGTGCCGGCCAGGCGGCTACTCCGTGGCCATCTGCTCGATGTGGTCACTGAGCAGCTTGTATTGCTCTGGGAACAAGAGAGAAAAGGGCTCAGGGAGGCTGCTGAACCATCCCATCCACGCTCCATCCCTCCAGAACGCCAGAAAGGGGCTGCACATCCCCCGGGCTCTCCCCTACCTTCGTCCAAGTTGCCAATGGTCGCCTGCTTCTTCAGGAAGTCACTGCAGAGCTTCTTGTTGAGGCCAAACGCCAGCATGTTGTGGATGAAGGTGCTGAGGGAGGACAGAGATGCTCAGGGTGAGAGAATGGCCAGGCTGCCCCTTCTTCCCCCCACCGTCCTCTCCCTCTCTGCAGCTCCTTGTCCCGGGCACGGGGATGGTGCTCAGCTCAGTCCCTTTGGATATTCAACAGAAGGGGCAGGAACAGGTCCCAGGGAGAAGCATCGAAACCCTCTGTACCATAAGGGATGTCCCAGTGGGGGAACACCTGGGAGCTGTCCCCAGGGGGGTGGTCCCCGTGCCCTGCTCACCCCAGCTGCCCGAAGGTGATGTTCTCGTTGAAGCGCAGGCTGTCGTCGCGCTCCTCCTGCGTCATGTGGCACCACTTCTCCCTGCAAGGAACGAGCCAGTCTGGCACCACTCTGTCACCACTGTCACCTCAGGACCCCCTGTCCGCCTCCTCCCACCCTGGGCCACCTTGCTGGAGGAGAGGAAGGCAGGAGAGCCCCTGGGTGTGGTGCTGGCTGTTGGAGGAGCTCACAACAAGGATCCATCTGCAGAGCTCTTGCCCTGGAGCAAAGCAAGAGATGCTCCAGGAAAAACCTCATTCAACCTTGGCTTTGCCTGGAAAGGCCCGGATTAAGAGCTAAAAATAGCATCGATCCCTCCAGCACAGAGCTCACCTTCGGTGCCACCCTGGGGATGAGGAGGAAGCTGGGGATGGCCATTCCAGCAGGGCTCTGCTGACTCCCCCCAGCCTGGGAGGGGGACAGGGGGACACCAGGTGCCCGTCCCTCATCTGCAGCAAGGCTCCAACTCCCCAAATCCCGACCCCAAACATACCTCCCCCTCCCCACGGACCAAAATCCCAGCGGTGCCCTGAGGATGCCCCGGCTCCACTCCGGCTCCCTGCAACTGCAGCATCACCTTAAGGGATGGAGGGGTTTAAGCTCTGGGTGTTTGCTGGAAGCAGTGGCTGAGTCCCCACCCCGGGAATAAAGCCTGTGCCACAGGGGTGTCACCTGGGGTGGTGGCAGCAGGGCTCAGTGCATGCATGCCAGGGAAACTACAGCTCCACAGTGAAGCCAGCCCCTTCTCGAGAACCAGGTGAGGTTACAGCCAAGGATAAGAGGAGGAAAAGCGAGGAAAAACAGGGATAGGCAGAAGAAAAATGGAGGAGAAGGAAGAGGAGAACACCAGGAGAAGAACAGACACTCACAGCTCACCAGAATAGCAAGCAGGAGGGGGGAGCTGTGCCAGGTGGAAACGGGGATAGAGGGGGTTTCACCCTAAATTTGGTGAGGTTGGCTCAGCCTCAGTGGGGCTGGAACGGGAGGAGGATGGGTGCTGAGCCAGCCTGACCCCACACAGTGAGCCAGCCTGACCCCACACAGGGAACCAGCCTGACCCCACAGAATCAGCCTGACCCCACAGAACCAGCCTGACCCCACACAGGGAACCAGCCTGACCCCACAGAATCAGCCTGACCCCACAGAACCAGCCTGACCCCACAGAACCAGCCTGACCCCACACAGGGAACCAGCCTGACCCCACAGAACCAGCCCCCACTCAACCACCCCAAGCCCAATGTGCAAAGCTGCTGAGCTGAGCCTCCAGCCACCAGCTCACTGTTTATAGGGCTCTGGAAATGTACACAATATGTTTCAGGGGATTTTTTTTTAAAGAAAAGAAGGTGTAATTTCTCTCAGATAAAGCTTAGGATAGCAAATAAAGCCCACAGCCAAATGTAGAGGCTGAAAGGAGAGGGGAAGAATTGAATTAAGGGGCTTTGAAATCTGGAAGCAAAACCTCACAGACCCCACTGGCACACTTACAGAAGAAGCATGTTTGTAACTCTTTTTCCTGCCTTTTTATGTTTTGGAGGGAGGAAGAAGGGAGAAAAAACATTATCAAAGTGCCCCAAAAAAAAACATTTGGCCATGTTTCTGGCTTATTACTGGAGAGTAACATGCCTGGGAAGGGAAAAAACCCACATGTGGCTCCACTCAAAGCCTTTGATCTTCACACTGGCCCAGCAGGACAGGCACAGGGGTGAGGAACCCCCTGGGCTGTATTTTGGGGTGTCCAGGGAAGCCTTGCTGTGCCTGGAAGTGCTGAGAATTCTGCATCAACCCCTTCCTCTTCCAGCAGCAGCAGCAGCAGCAGCATTTCCCCTGTACAGCAAACCCCAGCAGTGATACCTACACCATCCCTTAGCCAGGACATCCCTCAGCCACACAGAAAATTTACTGTCAGCCTTCCAAAAATCCTCATCCCCTTGCTAATGCCATCACCTGGAGGGATTTGCTCCCAGATCCCACATTCCAAGAGAGCAGTGGCTGTTCCCCTGCCCCGATGCCATCCGTGGCCCCAAGGACACGCTCCCAATTGTGACATTCAGCCCCACATTTGCAATTTTAATTTTGTTAAGGGATGGCAGCAGCAAAGTGCATTAGAGATGGAAAAGGGCCAGCTTTTCCAGCTGGCAAAGGATCCCCAGCACCTCTAAGTGGCAGCAGAAGCCGGGAGCAAGCAGGAAGGACAGGAGAGGGGGATGCTTTCTACACAAAGAGACTCAGTTCATGTCCAAAACCTGCCCAGAGGGATGTTCTCAGCAAAACATCCCAGCTTGAAACCATTCAGGCTCCTTTTTAAAAACCACATGAAAGAGGAGCCAATCTAAACCCCTCAGGCCCTTTGGGAGGGTGATGCTCATGCTCAAACCTCCTGCAGCTGAAAGGAGAAAGGGCCTTGCAGAGCCCCCCAAAACACATCCCCCCCTCCCCAGGGCAGGATCTGGACCTGAAGTGAGCATCAGCCTGTGGACACTAAGGAAGGACAGGGACAGACACACCTCTTCTCCTCTTCCTCCCCAGTGTTCCCTCTGGAGCGGCGGCAGAAACGGGGCCGACAAAAGTGGTGCGAGAAAAGATCATGCAAGACAGAGGGATGGAGGGGAACGGAGAGAAGAAGAGATGGAAGAAGGTTGTTAGAGGCATAGAGAGAGGAAAGAGAGAGAAAAAGAGGAGTTTAGTTCTGATTCCTTCCCCACCCTCCCCTGCCCTCCCCACCCAGAGGAGGAAAAACCTCCCCAGGTCTCGCTGCAGCCCCAGGAGGACAAAGCCCGGCCACCCCAGAGATATCCTGGTCACCCCATCACAGAGGTGGCCTCAACCCCATCCCCACGGACCTTCTGGACATCTGCCATGGCCAGGGACCGACCTGGAATTCCAAACCCAGCCCCCACCAACCACGTCCTCCCTGCGGGGATTTCAATCCTCAGCCCAGCACGGAGCATCCCAGCTCACTGTAAGGATTCTGCATCCTCTGCTGAGGACTCGGGGGGCCACCACCACCTCCCAACCCCCCCGAGATGCTCAGGATACTCCAGGCTGCAGCTCCCAAAGCTCCTTTGTTAGTCAGGCTTGTTCCTGCAGCCCAGGCAGGCTCAGCCATCAGATTAATTGGGAAAGGCACTCGGAGCAGGGAGCAGCTGCCGGTGGCGTCTGTCCTTGTGAGGCATTTGCTGCTGCTAATTTGGGGCTTAATCAAAGCAAATGCAGTTATGGTTACATTGCTGCTCAATAGGCTCTTCCCGTGCTTGCTTGGGAGAAAAAAAGGATAGCAAGAAATGGGGAAAACAGGGATTGATCCGTGAGCCGAGCCTGGCACAGCATCCCAGGGTGTGAGCCAGGGCTGCTGCGGCTCAGCTGGGGATTTGGGGGGGACACAGAGCGGGGCTGGCTGCTCTAAAGGGCTGTCAGCGCTCCCAAAAGGAGTGGCTCGAATGCTCCGAGCCCGGCGGTTCCACCCCGAGAGCCCAGAGCCTCAGGGCACTGCACAGAGAGCCTCAGGGCCGGCTGGGAGTGGGAAACTGCTGTCAGGACAGGAGGGATGGCTGGAGCCCTCACACAGCTTCGGGGTGCAGCAAGAGATGGGCACAAACTTGGCCAGTGTCTCAGTCGTTTCTGCACCCCCCGACACGAGCAGCCCCTTCTCTGACAGGTTTAGCACCGTTTTTGGGGCTGGCAGTGCCACCATCCCCAGCTTCTCTCCTTGCTGGCTGCAGGTTGTCCCTCCTGGGGACAAGCTGGGACATCCCCTCCATTCACCACACCTCCCAGACCTGCTGGCACACTCAGCACCAGCAGCCTGAGCCCTGGCTGGGATTTCTGGGCACGTCTCTAGGGCTTAGCTCCTCCAAAAATGCTGCACAACAAGCAAGAAAAGCTTCCTGCTCTCCCAAACCCTGTCCAGGCTGCAGATCTCACCAGCCCACCCCACTGCCCAGTGCTCTCAGCAAGTTTCCAGTCGGGGATGGAAAGCAGAGCATTTCCCCAGGGTTGGACAAGCTCAGGGCTGTTGGGAGGAGCATCCTGGGGGGCCGGAGGGGACACAGAGCTTCCTGTTCCTGCAGGGACGTGTCCTACCTGGTGGTGGGGGACCTCTTCCTGCGCTCGCAGTGCACGGCGTCGAAGAAGGCGGCGTTCCAGAACCGGAGGTTGTGCCTGCAGGGAGGGAGGGAAATGCTGGAAATGGCTAATTGGGATTTTATAATTGGGACCCACAGGTTGCCCAGTGAAGCTGTGGCTGCCCCTGGATCCCTGGAAGTGTCCAAGGCCAGGTTGGACAGGGCTTGGAGCAGCCTGGGACAGCGGAAGGTCCATGACCTTCATCCCTGAATGGGATGAGCTTTAAGGTCCCTTCCAACCCAAACCATTCCAGGATTCCACAATCTCACCCAGCCTGTCCCCGAGTCCTCCCAAGGGTCAGGATGGGCCAAACAAACCTGGCAGATTTCTGGACCAGCCCTTTGGTGGCTGCAAACACACTCTCAGTAGCACAAGGCATGTGCCAAAGCCAAGGCCAGCTCTGTTAGGGATACTCGAGAACCCCTGGGGACAAGTGGCCAGCAGGACAAACCCCTCCCCAGGCAGGAGCCAGCTCTCCCCAGGGCTTTACCAGATTGGCTGCTGCTTGAGGTGCATGTACAGGTAGATCTTCTCCCCCTTCTTCTCCTCCTCTGGGCTCTGCAGGGACACTGTGGGGACACACAGTCACACGCCAGCGGCTGCTGGACTCCCGCCCTGCCACCCACGTGTGGATTTTGTGCCCCCTCCCGGTTTGGTGGCTGAGCAGCCGAGATGGTTTGCAAGCCAAACACATCCTCTACAAATCCACAGCAACGGGAAGAGGAGCTCTGAGAGCCCTTGGAGGGCAGGGATGTCCCAGGAGGATCCTGGAGGGACTGGACCACCGGTTTGGGAGCACACACTGGGGGAGACCGGTGCACTACCAAAGCTCAGAGGCAGTGTGTGCCTGAACCTTGTGACACTGAGGACAAGATCCTCGCAGGACGAGAGTTGTGATTGGAATTTCAAACCCAGCCCCGAGGAATTCCAGCATTTCCAGCCCTCTCTCCTTCCCCAGAGATGCCTTGGCCATGCCCATTTCACCAACTGGCTGCACTCACCCGTCTTCTTCAGCTTCTCCTTCGGTTTGTCTTCACCTTCGCTGTGGCACAGGAAATCAATGTCAGCTCCACAAATCCTGTTCCCACCACACCCCATGGCTCCCCTGGCAAAGGGAACCTCATTTGAAAGCCCCTCTGATCCCATGGCACCGTCCCCAGGGCCAGAAAGGTGACAAAGAGACAGGGACGTCCCTCCCCTCAGACCCAGCACAGAGAGGATGCAGAAGACCACGACCTTGAAACCCCATAACTCTGTGGCTGTGTCGGTTTTGAGACAAATTAGGAGGAATTAGGACAATTAGGACGAGGGAAACAGGACTTCCAGCCCGTGAGGTGACAGAGACTAAAGCGTGGCACCAGGCCAGAGATGACCTCTCACAGCCATGGCAGCCCCATGGTGGCCCTACAGCCCTGGCTTGCTCAGGGGATGGGTGCCTGCCCACCCCAGGGACTGGCACCCACTCGCTCTTTTTGCTGGCAGGACCCTTCAGTTTGGTCTCCAGGCCCCCAAAGAAGCCCTTGACGTTCTCTGTCTTGGCCGAGGTGTTTTTCAACAGCCTCTCTGCGATGTCCTTCTTCTCGGCCAGCCAGGTGTTCGCTGACTTCAGGTATGAGTCGATGCTGCCCGTGGGCTTCTCCTTGGCCTCCAAGGGCAGGGCGTGAGGTTTCCCTGGGGAAAATGTGCCAGGAGCTCAGTGGGCCCACGACCCTGAGTGCTGCCAGCTCCTGGGGACCTGAATCCAGCTCCACCATGCACCACCAGGAGGTGGAAACACCCGAGATCCCATCCCGATTCCTGCAGGTTTTGATTTTTATCCTCCCCACTCCCATTTTGGATAGAAAGTCCAGCCCCCCGTGGAGGAGCAGCCACAGCACCAAACAACAAACCAAAAACAATAAACCAAGGTGCTTCTAGGGGCGTTCACATCCCACCCCCAGGGGCTGGGATCATCTGGGGGTCGTCACATACGAATATTCCTGGCTGGAAGCACGGACAAAGCAGCACCACCGCCCCAGCAAGGAGTTCTGCCAGGTTTGCATGGATTTTGGGCTCTTTCCCACCTGGGTCACCCCTCCCAGCACCTCTCCCATGCATGGGACACATTTCAAAGCAGCCCCCAGCACCAGCAGAGCCTCCACAGGGGTGCAGGTTCCCTTACCTATGTAGTAATAGGTGAAACACATGGTCATGAGGTTCTTGGCAGGGCTGAAATCGTCCATCTGGTGACACCTGGTGCAGAGTGGGGACTCAGTGAGGACACCCCGTGATGGGAACCCAACACAGCTCTGCCCTCAGGGCCTTTTGGGGGTTAGCACAAAGCCCCAGAGTGCCCCCAGGACTTACTCAAAGAGCACGAGGGCGAAGGACTGCATCAGGCGGTAGAAGGTCTGCTCTGAGACGCACTTGGAGTTGCAGCGCTGCAGGGACAGAGCCCAGGGCTCAGCACAGCCTGGAACAGCCTCAGCCCCCCAGGACCACCCACCATGGGCAGGGGAAAAAGAGCACTCATGGCTGGGTCTCCCCCTCAGAGGCAGCGTTGTGCCTGTCTGGGATTTTTTGTTGTTTTTTTTCGGAGAACAGGATGTGTCTGAGTGCTGCTGGGGTTTAATTTTAAATAAAATTACTGAAATCTCTCCCACGTTGCACCCAGGGTGTATTTAACTGCTCAAAATGTATTTATTCACTCCTGTATCTCCCTCTGCTGTGGTTCCTCACTTTCCTTGAGTTCCTGCCTTCCAAAAATAGTTCTTTGGGATATAAATAAATCCCCCTGGCCTGAGGCTGTTCCAAGACCCATGCAGGATCCCTGCTGCCTCCCCACCACTCCCCTTACCTGGGCGCTCACATATCTGGCAAACCACTCCCTGCCCTTCCCGTTCTCGCTGCTGCAGAGCTCCCCAAACCTGGCCTTCTCCTCTTGGTCCAAATCCTCTCTGAAACGGGGAAAAATTAAAAAAATCATCATTAAAGCCAAGGATGTGACCTGCACCCCCCAGCATCCCTCTTGGCACCAGCATCCTGGTGCTGGATGAAGGCAGAGGAAGAGGAGGAGAGGAGCATCCATTTTGTCATCCCTTGCCTCATGCTGCTCTTTTCTTCCTCCCTGGCAGGAGGGAAACCAAAGGCAGAGGGAGAAGGGAAGAGCCAAGGACAGTGTGAGCAGAAACTGAGCTCCAGAGACAGGCACGGAGCCCCAGAGCAAAAACAAGCCCTGTTGCTGCTCCTCACGCTCCATTTGCTCCATCCAGCCCGACACGGAGCGGTGGAGTTACGGAGACCACGGGGCTGGGAGCACAGCCCGGGGCTGCCACGGGGTCCCTGGGCACGTGTGAGCCACTGGCATTTCCGTGAGCACCAGTGGGGAGAGGAGATGGGCACAGTGAGCCCCTGGCATGGGAATGGGGAGAGAGAAGAAAGGGAAGCCGGGGGTGGAAGATGAGCTGGGATGTGGCCAGGAAAGGCAAAAGCCACATTCCCGTCTGCACCGACGCCGTGGAAGGGAAGGACACAAACTGCTGTTCCCGGAGCGGGAAAGCAGCCAGATCCAATCCCATCCCGTGGGGTGTCCCTGGCACCGCCGGCCCTGCTCACTCACCCCCCCGTGAAGATCTTCTCCACGTAACTCCGCATGAATTCCCGGCGCTCGGCCGTGGCCTCGTCCTGCGCCGACTCCGTGCTCTGGCTGGAGGAGAAGGACTCGTTGGAGGAGGAGCGGCGGTAGCCACGCCAGTGCCTGGGAGAGTCCCCCATGTCATTCTCGCTGTCCGCAGACTCGGTGGCATCGCTCTCCTCCGCGTCCCCTGCGTCCCCCGGGTGGCTGCTGTCGCCGGGAGTGGCGGGAGGAGCGGGCTCAGGGGGGTCACGGGAGGGCGTTTCGCTGTCAAAGTCAATGAGGTTCCCCACGGGCACATCCACAGGGGCCTCCATGGCTCTCCCGGGGGTGTGGCGGTGTTGGGGACACTCGCTCCTCGTGCCTTTGGCCCTCACTGGGGCGTGGAGGCCATGGCTGGCAGGATGCTGGCTAAGGCAGGCAGGACCTCCTGGGGGGACACAGGCTACCACAGGACATCTGAAAGGCACAAGGAGGACAAAAGTGAGGACAGGACCCTGGGGAACCACCACCGTGGACCTTGGGCAAGGCCCAACGATGTCCCCAGGATGTCCCTCAGCAGCAGAGGGACAGACAGAGCTGGCTCCTCTCCACCAGCCACCTGAATCTGCAATCCCATGGGAATGCTCACGTGCTTTCGGCACCGCTCGAGAGGGTTTTCCATCCTTTAGCCCAGAAAAGGGACAGTGGGAGCCTCAGCTCCATATTGTCACATTTGGGATGTGACATCTCATGGCCTGATGGGCAAAACTGGGCTGGCAGGAGCCAGCAGCTGGCAGGACACTCCAGGGCAGCCCTGACATCCTTCTGTCCCTGCCCTCTCTCCGCTCACGGCTCTGTCTGACCCCGTTTGGGATCGTCTCCGGGGTGCAGCATCCTGGAGTTTAACACACATTGATTTAGCTGGGAACAGCAGAAACTGGAATGGGATGAGGAGCTCTGGACTGCAATTAAGGGGTTTTGGCATCCCCAGATTGCAAAGGTCCTGCAGAGGAGGTCCAGAGACATCAGGGATGGGGAGGGACTGGGATGCTCTGGCACATGCCCATCCTGGACAGCGCTGCAGCAAGAGGCAAAGAAAGGGCCACCCCTGTGCCAGGGGGTCACTGATGTTGTCAGTGAGGCTGTTTCTGCCCCAGGAGGTGGCAAATTACAGTGTTGGAAACCCAGCACACACTGCAGCATCCGGGCACAGGGCGGGACAGGAGCAGGGCCAGCAGTGCAGGTGACAGTAACAGTAACAAACCCAGGGCAGCACTGACACAGCCCCGCTGCCCCCCAGGGAACCCATCCCAGGACACAGGAAACCACCCCCAGAGCAAAAATCCCCCAAAGGAGCGATGTCCAGTTCATCAGACAAACAGGAGTTCAAACTGAAACCCAATCTGACGTGTTTCACCAAGCACAGCACAGTGAGAAAACAACCCCTGGGCTGCAGGAGCAGCCACTCTTCCAGCAGCATCCCCCTCCTCCTCCTCCTCCTGTCCTCCAGGGACCCTTTGGGGCACGGGACAGCAAGAGAAACACAACTCCTTGAGTGGCTGGGGAAAGCCCCTGTCCCCCAGCAACAGCAGGGACAGAAAAGTCACCTCAGGTGGCAGAACTCATGCAGCCACCTCTGCTGGCAGCCTGCTGTCCCAGCCTCCCTCACAGCCCCCCCAGGAGCTGCAGGGACACTGCTGAGTTCCAGCAGCTGTGGAGAGTTTGGCTCCTGGGAGAGGAGCAGCCCAAGGCTGCGGCACAGCAGGGACTGGCAGTGTTCCCATGGGGATCCAGCCAGCTTCAGCCTGGCTCCGTGTCCCTGGCAGTGTGAGCCATCCCAAACCACCCCTCCATCCCTCCCTCCATCCATCCATCCATCCATCATCCATCATCCATCCCTCCATCCATCCATCATCCATCCATCCATCCATCATCCATCCATCATCCATCCATCCATCCATCATCCATCCATCATCCATCCATCCATCCATCATCCATCCATCATCCATCCATCCATCCATCATCCATCCATCATCCATCCATCCATCCATCATCCATCCATCATCCATCCATCCATCCATCATCCATCCATCATCCATCCATCCATCCATCATCCATCCATCATCCATCCATCCCTCCACCCCCTCTGCCCCCAGCCCTTCCCACTCCCACAGCAGCTGTAAAATCCCTTTTGGCACTGATGGACAGAAGGTTCCAGGGAGACCTGGAACTTTCCAGGGGCTCCAAGAGAGCTGGAGAGGGACTTTGGATAAAGGCATGGAGTGACAGGACACAGGGAATGGCTTCCCACTGCCAGAGGACAGGGCTGGATGGGATATCGGGAGGGAATTCTTCCCCATGAGGGTGGTGAGGCCCTGGCACAGATGCCCATGACCCTCTGGGAGAGAGGATTTGGGGTTCAGCCCAGGAGCCCCAGGGCTCACGGAGGGATGGAAAAGATTCAATCCCTCACTGACCAGCTCATGGTAAAGCCCTGTCCTTGAGTGAAGGCCACCAAAGGTGTTCCAAGGTGTTGGAAGCTGCTGGGGGTGCCCAGGCTTCCCAGGCACCACCAAAGGGGTTGGGTTCTCAGCACAGAGCCCAGGAGAGCTTCAACATCAAAACCAGCTGCAAAACCAGCCCTGTCCCCACTCCACAACCTGCTCATTGCTCTGGCAGAACAAATCCAGGGAAGGAATAGCCAAAATATCAAACCAGAACCTCAGGTCCCATAATTGGCACCGTCCACTCATGGTGATCAGCACAGCTGCACATCCCACCACTGCCCAGGGGGGTCCCGTTCCTGGCTGGGTCAAGTTTGAGAGCAAATGAGGGTTCTGGAATAAAAACGGACTTTTAGGCTGCTTGGGAGCCTTGATAGAACATCGTGAGCTTCAGCATCACCCTGAAACTCAGCGGTTCCTGGGCTGACTTTGACCATGAAGCTCAACCAGACAGGTGGAGACACCAGCCCAGGAATATCATCCGTGAATGTGCTGAAGCCACGCAAGGGAACATCACAGGAAATCCATGGCGCCCTGAGACTTTGGAAAATGCCTGTTTTTACTAAAAGGAAACTCTGGGGTAGATGTGAATGATTCACCTAAAGCTGCATATGTGTGCAAGCAGCTTTTATCCATGACCTGCCCTTGAATCCAGCATTCCTGGCTGGATCTCCCAGCATCCCTAATCCTGCACAGAGTTTCCCCTCGGGGCTTTGTCCAGGTGTGTCGGGTACTGAGGTCAGGTTTGTTGTGGGGCCTCAGCAATTCACAGCTGGGAATCCAATCCCAGTTTGCAATGGAAATCCCAGGATTTGTCCCACCTGTGTCCCAGCTCTCCAACCACAGTGCCCCAATGCTCCTGTCCCCAGAGCTGGGTGACAAACTGAGGTAGTTCCTGTTGTCATCTCGGGTGTGGGTGACATCCCACATGACGGCAGCGCTCACACCCACACTCACTGCATCCCGCACGGAGCCGCTGCTCCAGCCTGGAGCTGTCAGGGATGACTAAAAACTGTAATTAAAGCAAAGAAACCTCTGGCTGTCTCCTCGCAGCCTCCGACACGGAGTGCAGGAGCCCTGAGAGCCCCTGGGAACCTCCGGCTCCGGGAGAGGGGAAAAGCCACAATCGATGTTCTTGCAGGACTCGGCAGCCCAGAGGGGACAACTCTGCTCCTTTGGACACAGCCACGGGCTCTGCAGAGAGCTCTGGCACCGCTCCCGTGCCAAGGGCTGCGGGTGCCGGGGGCTGCCTGCATCCTGCGGGGGCGTGGGATGCTGGCGTGGGCAGCGCCTGAGCCCGGCCAGGGCAGGGTTTGTGCCCTGTGCTGCAGCACCGGAGCTTTCAGCACATCCCACCTCTCTCTCGCAGCTGTGCCCGGGGACGGGCGCTGGGCAGCCTGCGGGGAAGGGTCAGAGGCAGCCCCGGAGCGGGGGACGCGCACAGGGAGGGACACGCTGGGAGGGACCGGCGAGGCGCTCAGTGCTGGCATTTCTCCACGCTGCGGCCTTCCGTGGAAATCCTCCCTCCAAACCGGGGGTTTGCAGTGCCCCGGCACGGGAATGGCAGCAGCTCCGGGTGCTGGCAGTGCCCGGGGACACCTCGCTGCCACCCCACCTGCACTGCATCCACGGCCCGGGCACGGAGCCAGCCCGGCCCGGCTCTGCAAGGGCACCCCGGGCACGGCTGAGCGCCTGCCAAGGAAAACTCCGCGTGCCGTGAGGGAACAGCGTGTTTCCTCCCGGGGAACTGGTCAGTCTTGTTCCCCCGTGTCCCTCCCCCGGCAGCAGGGTGACGGCTCCGGGGTGCGGAGCCATCGGGTCCCCAAACGGGCCCGAAATGCAGAGGTACCGCTCTTACCCCCCGTCCCAAGCACCCCACTGAATTCAAGCGCACAAACCTCCTTGTTTAAACACACCCTGGCGGTTTGGAGAGCAGAAATTCCTCCTCGCCCGTCCCCGCCGCAGATCCGCTCCGCTCCCGGTGCCGGGACACGCTCCCACTTTATCAGGGAGGCTCAAGCTGTGCCCTGGCCAAGGCGCAGCCGTGCTGCAGCACTGCCCACAGCTCTGCAACTTCGGAAAACAATTCCCTGCGTGCCAGGGGGACACCTGAGAGAGCTGCTCGGCTGGGCTGGCACAGGTGCGTGCCACAGCCAGCTCCCAGCTCATCCTGAGCCGGCACCGGGACCCCGGTCCCTGGTGAGGGAGGATTTTGGGTGTTCGATGTGTGTAGGTCTAGAGGATCTTCTCCTCAGCATCATCTCCTCTCCCGGCTCCGGTTCTGGGGCGCTGCTGCCTTCCAGGTGGATCCTCCCCCTTCCCAAACCCGGTTTTAGCTCACACGGGGCACTGACAAAACCATCACTCAGCCCTTAAACCGGAGCCATTTCCAGGGAATCTGAAGCCCGGCGGGCTCCCGGCTTGCCCCGCTTCCCAGAGAGCCTTTTCCTTTCCCCCCCGCTGCCATCAGACACCAGATGGCAGCTCCCCATTCGCCTGGACTCGCGAGGAGAATTAAATGTCTCTTGAATAGACCTGAGCTGCGTAAGCCGGGCTTTTGTGCCGAGCAGCGGTTTCTCCTTTCACACTTCCCAGCGGCACAGCTCCCACACACCCCCCTCCGCCACGGCCCCATCCCCAGGGACCCCCAGAATGGGGGAATGGGGCTACTCATTCTGCAATTCCCGTTTTTACCCGGCAAAAATTCCTCCCGCGGGCCATACCAGGCTGTATTTTGGAAAAAAACACCCGCGGGGGGGGTTCCCTGCCCCCGACCACCCTCAGCCCCCATTCCCGAGGGAAATGCTGCTTGCAGCCCCTGCGGGCTGATGGAGCCTGGGGACCCCCCCACCCTTCCCGGGGAGCAGGGATGCATCCCCCTGGATGCTCCGAGCTCAGAGACAGCTGGAAAATAGCGGAGGTGTCACCTCCCGGCGTGAGAGGACGGATTAAAGCCCAGGCCTGTCCCCAGGCGCGCCATCCTCATCCTCCCTCCTCACCGCCTCCCTCGGCTTTTACCTGCAGCCGGGAGCCTCGCGGCAGGTTCGGCAGCCCGGGGCTGGCCGGGGAGAGAGCGATGGAGGCCGGGGAGCTCCCTCCGTGCCTCGGTCCCTCCCTCCGTGCGGAGCTCCGGAGCATCGCGGGCCCCACGCGCGGCTGCGCGCACAGCGCCGGCTCCCGGGAACGGGAAAAAGCGGAAAAAGCTCCTTGTGGCAGCCGGCCACGCTTTGCACGGCTCCCCAGAGCCTTTCCTGACCAGCAGAGCCAGCCTCGGCAGGGATTCCCTCACCCCATCCAAACAGCCCCCCGTGAGCCCCGGGTGTGATAACCGGGAAATATCCAAAATATCGACCTAAGTGATGCGGGGTCCCCATCAAAAGGGGGACAAGATGGTTTTAAGTCCGTGCACATGCAGATATCCAAAATATCCAGCAAAATAAGGTGAAGTCCCCATCAAAGAAGGATTCTCCAGCCTGAAACAGCCCATCCAAGCCCCCTGTGCACCCCGACATCATTGAAGCAAAATAAAGCAGGATTCACATCAAAGAGGAATTCTCCAGCCCAAATCAGCCTGGCACATGCAGATATCCTAAATATTAACTAAAACAAGGTGGGGTTCCCATCAAAAGGGGATTCTCCAGCCCAAAACTCCTTGTCCAAGCCCCTCTGCACCCTGATATCTGGAGTATTAAAGAAAATTAAATAGGATCCCCATCAAAGGGGGATTCTTCAGCCCATTTCCTCACCTTGAGCTGGTTTTTAGGCCTCCCCACCACTCAGCTCCCTGAGGATTGTGAATTATCTGCTCTGCTCTTCCCCAGGTGAGCCACTCCGGGGGGGAAAAAAAGTGTCAGGTGAGATCAGAGGGGGGAAAGCTCCAGTGGGGAGGAGGAACTGGGTGGGAGCAGCGACAGGACAAGGGCAAAGCTCGGGGGAATTGCTGCCCACTCAGAGGGCAGTGCTGGGATGTGGAGTGGAGAAAAACTCCAGATGGGGAACAGGGCAAGGCTGAGCCCCCTGGGGGGATGTTACATGGCTGGGGGGCAGTTTTGGGGTGTTCTCAACAGCCGGGGGGGTCTCTGACACAAAGAGAAGCAAAGGAGTTTGGAGAGGAGGCCACCAAACCCTCCAGCTCTGCCCTTGCCAGCCTGTGCCAGGGCACCTCAGCCCTCCCAAAGGGGCCCTGGCACTGCCTGCACTAACCCAGAGGGCTCTCGCTGAGGATTTGAGGGAGGAACAGCCCCTGCTGGAGAGAGGAGGCTGGAAACCCCCACAGCAGCACAGAATCCCGGGTCCTGCTTATCCTCCCTGCCCCAGCATCACCCCAACCCTGAGCAGAGCCCTGTTCTGTGCCTCAGAGCATCCCCAGGGACAGGGAGGCAGGAACTGCTGACCCAGCACCCCAGGGCCTGCAGTCCTGCTCTGATCCCCCAGAAGAGCAAACACCAGTAAGAACCACATCCTCCCCCTCTGGAGATGCCAAACTGTGTGATCCCAGGGAAATACCGCTGGGGTGGGAAATGCAGCATCCCTGGCACAGCCTGCCCACACCTGAGCGCTGATGCTCAAGGGCACCCCTGGAAAAGAGTCCAAAGCCTCAGCTGAGTGGTTTTCAGTGCTCTGGAGCCAGGCAGGACTGAGGGAGATGGGTGAGTCACTCCTGCCACTGAGCATCCTCATCAGGAGAGCTCAAACGATGCTAATTAGTGTGAAAGTGCTCATTGTCCCCTCTGTCCCCACACGGAGGGAACAAAGTGCCTGTGACACAGCACTTGAGCTCAGCAGAAACCCAGGAGCATCCCTAATTTACTGTGTACCCAGGGTGATTATTATAATTAAGCCAGACTTCAGGAATTGCAAGTGACATGGAAGAAACAGCTCCCAGCTCCCCGGTTTTGATATGACACCACGGGGAGGGTTTTGGTGCCTCCCCCTCGCCGGTTCTCCTTGGCTGGGATTTCTCATGGCGGCCTGGTCTTTATCTGTTTGTGTTTATCCTGCTGTGGACCCAGGGTTTGGAGCATGGGAGGTGGAAAGCCTGGGAGCACACACCTTCCTGGCACCTGGAGATGTTCCAGGCCAGGGTGGACAGGATGGAGCAGCCTGGGGTAGTGGAAGGTGTTCCTGCCCATGCCAGGGGGTGGAACTGGATGAGCTTTAAAGTCCCTTCCGACCTAAACCTAAAATTCCATGGTTCTGTGAAGTTTTGTCCCCCCTCCACCTCAGCTGACAGTCCTGCCTGGGAATTCTTCACCTTGACAAGGAGAGGAGATGCCCCAGGCTGCTCTCCAGGAGCTGGGAGAGCATCCCACCCCATGACTGCCATGGCTGGAAGCAGCCAAGGAGCAGAACCCAGGGTCAGGTTGGCTTATTTTACCCTCCAACACCCGTGGGAGACATCCAAGACTTCCCAAGCAGAAATGTCTGCATGGTGGTGCCCCCAAAAACACCCTCCTGGGACAGGGACCCCTCTCCCAGCTCCATCCCCAGCCCAGAACCACCTCCAGGGCACTCTGCTCCCTCCTTGCAGCATTCTAGGGCTGCCCTGGCAGCGGGGCTGCAGCTGCAGAGCTGGCACAGGCAGAGCTGCCTGCGACCTGCTCGTCCCTCCCCGTGTTCCCATTCTGCACACAAAGGCTCCGGGGGTGGCTGTGGCTGTCACACACCACCAGTGCCCTATTTTCCCTTCTCCATCCCATCCAGCAGTGGAGCCAGGCTGACAGCTGCCAGGGGTGGGTGCCACCAGCAGCAGGAGGGAGGTGATGCCTTAAGTTTTAGCTTTCATATTTTTCATATTTTGATATTTTATTTTTTCATATTTTCATATTTTATTTTTCATATTTCATGTTTCACATTTTAATATTTTCATAGTTTATTTTTTAATATTTTTCTTTTTTATTTTTCATATTTTCATATTTTTCATATTTTTCATTTTTCATATTTTTTATCTTTTCATATTTTTCATCTTTTTCATTTTTCATATTTTCCATTTTTCATATTCTGCCCTGCCCAGGTGTGTGGTTCAGAGCTTCATATTCAGTGTCAGTGAGCTCTCTTCACAGAGCAGCCAGACAAAACAATTCCTTTTCCAGCTTGGTACCAAGGACAATCGTTACAAGTTTCAGGCCCAAGAGCAGAAACAAGGCTGGGCTGAAGAGAGAGAACAGGATGGGACTGCAGAACCTGGAGCTGTAATTGGACAATTAACCCAAATATGCAGATGGACCAAAACTTATAAAAATGTGAGGCCTCATGAGCAGTTTTCCATTTCATGACCATTTTTAGGTCTATCCTGGGTGCAGGCCTGGCCAGGCTCTTGTAGTGCCCAAGGTGTGTCCTTTAGGGCCTTTCACTAAATCCCTGCTTTATCCTGAGCTCTGTGCAGCCTCTGCTCCAGCTCAGCCCTCTCCAGGCACCAGAGGTACACAGCAGGGTGAGTGCTGAGCCACCCCCTTCAACTCAGGGGAAGCAAATTTTGTGGAAGTTACTGAAATATTGGGTAATTTTTTGCTTCACACCCCTGAGCAGCAGGAACAGGCACAAGGGAGGAGCTGGCAGATCCAGGAAGGAGCCAGGGGTTTGGTGGCAGGAGGATCCCAGAACCACAGAACGTCCTGGGTTGGAAATGACCCACAGGGATCATCCAGTCCCCTGTCTGACCCTGCCCAGACACCCCAACAATCCCACCCTGTGCCTGGAGTGTCCTGGGAGCTCCTGCAGCTCTGGCAGCCTCGGGGCTGTGCCCATTCCCTGGGGGAAGAACCTTGCCCTGAGATCCACCCTCAGCCTGCCCCAGCTCTGTGTCATTTCAGGTGCTGTCCCTGGGCAGTGCCAGTGCTGCCACTGCACTTCCCACAGGGATGTAAAATCCTGCTGGGGGGAAACGAGATGACAGCTGTGACAAAAACCCCAAAACCCAGGAGCTGTAACAGCACAGGGCCAGGCTGACCCCGTGCCCAGCTCCTCTGGGCAGGGACAGGAGCAACGAGAGGCTCCAACATCCCCGAGCCACTCGCACAAGGATGAATTCATCCACCCCCAGCAGGAAACCACCCAGAGGATACTCACCCTGAACCATCCCACGCACTCAAAGATTCTGTTCAGCCTCCCAGGACGAGGAAGATGCCGGGTTCCTGGTGCTGATCTGTGTTCCAGAGCCCCCTCCCAGCCCAGGAGCTCCTGGCTGCTCCCTGGGCCCTCAAGCCCAACAGCAGCACAACGCAACCGAGTGTTGCCACACCACGGATGGTTGTGACACAGCTGCTAAAAACCTAAATAAGCTGCTCTTCCAGACTGACCCTCTGCAAATCCCTCCTAATCCAATCTTGTTTATGGCATTAAGTTGGACCCTCCCATACTGAACGCCCCTGTTTGCTCAACACTTGGGAAAATCCTCGTCTTTTCTCGGTCCTGGTTGAAGCTCTGATGCAGAAGTCACCAGAGCTTCCTTCTCCTCGTGTGTGGAGGTGTTTGGGGACAGGGCTACACCTGCACTCCCAGCTCCACATCCCACTGGCACATCCCCACACCGCCACTCTGGCCATGGAAAACCTCCCTCAGTGACACTGCCAGGATTTCTCCTTTGCTGGGATTCATGTGGTTTAAAACACAGTTTTCTCCACCTTTTCCAAACACAGAGAAAATAAACCCTGCTCTGACCTCCAGCTTCCCCCATAAATCCCAGCTGGGATCCAGGTTAGGAGACAAACCCCAAACCACGTTAGTTTGGTGTGTTAATCCCACAGAAGATGCCAGAGCCACATTCCCCACCACAGCCCGGGGTTGGGAACGCTCTGCCCTCCCTGAGGCCATCTCACAGATGGATCCCACGTCAGGAGGACACAAAGCTGTGGGTTTGCCACAGGCTGCCACAGCCACACGCCTCTGGGATTCCTGCAGGGAGGAGAAAAGCCCTGCCCGTGTGTCCTGGGGGTCCTCTCGGTTTGCAAACATCTGCCACCACACGTGTGGCAGAGCAGCTCAGGCAGGCAGCAGGATGAAAGTGTTATCCTTACCCTCAGTCTCCCTGGAATCTGCAGGAAAGTCGTGCCATGGAAAAGGAAACCTGTTTTATCTTTCCTGAAAGGAAAGCCAAGCCTGTTTATAAAGGGAGACACAGGCTGGCACAGGCTGGAGCAGCAGGAACGGG